AAAAAAACTGTCGTCCATAAAATGCGTTGCACAAATTCGAACATCTAGGTTGTGCTGTTCTGTTGTAAATAAATCTTAAACAAGGATTCCTCATTGCATCTACTTTCGGAAGTCCAAATAAAGTGCTTTTGGTTTCGCACAGAAACACACAGCGTCTCCCTGACATGGCTGCATCAAACTAACTGCGGTTACTGATATCAAATGACCCCTTTAAACAAAGTTTTGGTTCTTGCGGATACTCTTCCGTCTCCACATGGTACCTTATCAGGATTGTTGAAGCCCGGCTTGCAGAATTGCTTGTAGTATTCCCAGTAGCTTTTATTGCGTCTGTAGTTGTATTGCATGTCGATGTAAGTGGCAAATCTGTCTGGGCACTTGGATACACACAGCTGAGGTAAACAAGAGAAACAGAAGCATCAGTTACAAAACAAGCCAGTGCTAAATACAGAGCGATCCAGCTTAGACAAAATGACAGATGGTTTGCAAATAGTGTCTGTATTACCTGAGTTGTAGGGCACTGAAGGTTAATGAGGACTGTAGGATTGGCACATTGCAAAATATTGAAGTAAAATAATATGGCTTTATTTCTGTGGAGGAGAAAGAAGGTGTTTCAATCCATCTTTGAAACTTAAAAATCTAATAAATAAATCTCATACCTAATTGAGTATGAGAAGTTTTTAAATATTTTATACAATTAAGTATAACAGCATTAACAACTCAATTTCTCTCAAGCTCATACTCACGCATTAGGAGTACCCTGCTGTCCACAGAACTGCCCATAGCTATCTGTTGGGTAGACAACTTTCCGGGGATCCCCATGCATCCAAGCTTAAAAAACATAACACAAGCCTTGTCATCCGAATCATGTTTCTCAAATAAGTTTACCACAGTTGCAATTCAAGCGTCATGCATTTCAAATAACTGCTGAAAAAAAAAAAAAAATCTGTATTTATGGCAACACTGAAACTACACCCACTGTTCCTGCTGAGAAGGAACAGGCAGAAGCAAAGAGGACAAACACGAACAGATGCATGAAAAAACTAACAAAAAATAAAGTGAAACCTCTTCATTTAATTCTGAGCATAAGAGGCTCTTTATGTAATTGAATACGAGTGATTTGAGTCCACAGTGAATCGAACACACTACAGCTCTGTGGAGAAGGATTCTGCCTGGTGATTTAATTTTCTCCACTTAAGTCTGTCTGCATGGAAAAGTGAATTTGAGCTTCAGGGGTCACGGAACGTCACCTCAAGCCTAAACCGGTCACATGAGTTATCAGTGCACTTCAAAGAGCAACAGAAAAGCCAGTAGTATTAATTTAGCCTAGTCAGGATTAAACTGATAAGAGCAGAGTAGAGTGAGATCAGCATGACAAAGAAAAAGCACTGTGGGAGAAACAGCGAGTCTTACACTTCACAGACCCAATATGTACAGTTTATATAATTACAATTTAATATAAATTAAAATGGAACATTTTAAACTGTGATTTATTCCTGTCATGGCAGAGCCGAATTTTCAGCAGCCATTTCTCCAATCTTAGATGTCATATTATCTTCCAGAAATCATTCTAAAAAACTAAAAAAAAATTACAATTAGATTTTGCATCACAGAACTTTTGGGCGCCACTATATATATATCAATCATAGCAGCACATTTCCAGCAAAGACAGATCCAACAGTTGGCAAGCTGTGAGTCTCCCAGAAACGGCAGAAGAGAAAAGCCTGTGACAGTTTTAACCACAGACTCCACATTTAAACCACAAATGATGTAACCGATCAAATGTCACAGTGAATGAACGGGTTCTTGCTTTTTTGAGAATGGACTAAACGACTGTCCTTATAAAAACAGCCACATACGGTGAGGGGAGTGTAACTGAACATAATGACACTGCATTAGGCTGCTGTTTACGACTGACGCTCCCCTGCCGCTTCTATTTGGCTGCTTAATAGCGCTGGATTCATGAGCCGCATTACACAACCCTCTCTGCTGAAGCGTACGTTAATGAGTGTAACTCACCCACTGTTCCCAGAACGATGTAACCGAGGATGACGATCACAAAGATCACACAGCAAAGCACGTCTGTGCAGCCCCTGCAGTGGGAATGTGAGAAAAAAGAATGTAAGGGAGAGAATGTGAGCACTGAATGAATAAATTACACTATATTTACATTCATAATAGCATTTCAGTAAGTATATACGTAAACTAATTATATATTCTTAATCAAATGTTGTAAAATAAAACTTTTATAACCATTGTGAACTCTCAAACTATAAACAAAATAACATTCACTAACACAGTGTGTTAAAAAAACACATACATCTACACAGAGCACATATACTGTATTTGTGATAGTTTTTTTCCCCTGCGGACTGTAACCCCATCAGAACAGACTTGTGACCCATTTTTGGGTGCCAACCTACTAGTTGAAAACAACTAAATAGCAGCTTTGCAGACAGAGAAAATGAGGCTGAGGTCACAGCAGGGCAACAGAAAAGATTAATTGATGTGCCGCATCCTCATTAGCACATTATCCATCCTAAATAGTATGCAAGCAATTAAGTAGTGCACAGGGTGGTTATTGTTAACTAAATACTAAAACTATTAAAACCTGTATTACATGAATGAAAATGAGAAATGTTGCCTTGACAACTACCTGAAATAAAAGTTGAAGTTGAAGTACTAAAATTATTAAAACTGAAATAAAAAAAATAACAAAAAATAATAATAATAAAAAGACAATAGAAATAAATTTATAATGAAAACTGAAAATATAAAATATAAAAATAAAATCTAATTCAAAACATTACTAAATACTATAATAGTATATAAATAATACTAAAATGATACTGTAGTGCATCCTAAATTATAATACACTAAACATAATAAGCTAGAAATGCCAAGATAATACACTCCATTAAAAAGTACCTGAATGCAAGGACAAATATACAAAAACAGTTTTTAAAAAGAACTCGAAAGTTAAGCAAGACTGAACTTTAAGCTAATGAGTTAGCTAGATGGTAACAAGATGCTGCAAGGAGGTCTGTAGCATACTTTACAATGTGGTAACGTGTCCTCATACTACACATTTAAAAGTATATATACATACCTATAGTGCAGAGTATATGCTAATTTGGACATAGCCATACAGTTCAGTAGGGCAGTAAACTTCAGTTTTGTGTAGTTCTGACTGGACTAAACCAAATTTGACAAACTCGCAGCATACAGCAGCTTTGAGTGGACAGCTAATGTGGATGACAGTAGAAATGAGTGACGTGTCTGATGTGTAAACTACAAACCCACAGTGTCATCTGTAACAGCGTTCCCTGAGCTATATTTAAATTCCACTCAACACAGATGGGGAGTGGGTGGTTGCGTCGGGCCACTTTCACACAAAGGTGCGGATTTGACGTGATACTGGGAGTCAGTGACATTTAATGCAATACAGCTTGGGTGATATTTTTGGAGATATAGCGTTAATGGACTAGTGGAAAAGTGGCCAACTAAGAATATAAACAAACACCATAAAAGTAGCTCATCTGACTCATGTACTATATTCCAAGTCATACAACAACTTTGTGCGAGAAACAGAGCAAAATTTCCAGTGAGCAGCTGCGACCAAATCATTGAGCCAATACGCTAAAACTGAGAATTGGACCAACTTCTAATTTGTGAACGAATTGTTCACAGGTTGATTGAAAAGAACCACTTGCAAAGATTGATCTGTTCACAAATCAGATTGATCCATCTGGTCACGGCAGTTCTGCTCACTGGAGATGATTTTCAGATGTTCCTTACACAAAACTATCTTGTGATTTTAGAAGACTCAGTGCAAAAGTCATATGGACTTTTATGATGCTTTCTGTAGCTAGATATATGTGATCACTATAATCTGCAGTTGTATAGAAAATGTCTGTGTGAAGAAACTTCATTTTGTGCTCCATAAAAAAATGTAATAAAAAAAAATAATTATCTCTTTCATAAATCATCGTCTCTTGATTTATCAAACCATAAACAACAAATTTTTTTTAATCATATTATTACTGAGCCACTATGATAAACAACTAGGTCAGCTGTGACACGGATTGTACCGCACCTCATCACAGCAAACATAGCACAGTAAAGTACTGCATGCTGTGATAACCCAACAGAGCTTAAGCGTTTTACATCAGTCAACCCTAATTAGCAGTAGCTGGGCCTTATAAATACGGACTAAGCACAGGAAAACCCCATTAGAAACACGCTGGGTTGCACACTGTGATGGCCACTTTCTACTGAGAGCAACAAAAAATACATTGAAACCCAGGGCTTGTTTTCCAGTAATAGCAGAATGACCTCACAATCTGCTGAATCCTATTGAGTTTGACTGTTAATGAGGCAAAGCAACTCTAGAAATGTGAGCAACAGTTATTGATTTCTCTGCTCCTGTGGGGTGAAAGCCGTGCAGTCCGCAATCACTGCTGAACTAACCACTGATCCACCAGCAACTCTGGATCAGAGCGAGAAACAGGCCAGCGGAGTGACAGGTCCATGAATGAAGTCAATATTTTTATCAATAACAGACACATGCAAATCAGGACAAATCAAAAGACAATGCTTTGAAGGTGTGCATGTGTGTTTGTTTTTGACCTAGCTGTATTTGGGAGGCATTATTGCCACTAAATACTGGCATAAGTATATATATATACAGTGGTGTGAAAAAGTGTTGGCCCCCTTCCTGATTTCTTATTTTTTTGCATGTTTGTCACACTTTAATGTTTCAGATCATCAAACAAATTTAAATATTAGTCAAAGATAACACAAGTAAACACAACAAACAGTTTTTAAATGAAGGTTTTTATTATTAAGGGAAAACAAAACCCAAAACTACATGGCCCTGTGTGAAAAAAGTGTTTGCCCCCTAAACCTAATAAATGGTTGGGCCACCCTTAGCAGCAACAACTGCAATCAAGCATTTGCGATAACTTGCAATGAGTCTGTTACAGCGCTGTGGAGGAACTTTGGTCCACTCATCTTTAAAAACTGCATGTTGTGTTCACTTGTGTTATCTTTTACTAATATTTAAATTTGTTTGATGATCTGAAACATTAAAGTGTGACAAACATGCAAAAAAATAAGAAATCAGGAAGGGGGCCAACACTTTTTCACACCACTGTATATACTAGAAATGAATGAAAAAAATCTAAAAGTTGTATTTTAGGGTTAGATTTGATGTTCGGTTGTAAGCTTAGTCTATTTTAGTTAGATCTGGCTTAATTTAAAACAATAGGAAGTTCCCTTTTAGATATGCATGTATTTGTCAAGCTGTTCTTATTTTGCCCATTAGAAAACAAATGTATAAATTATGTAATGTGAATTTATATACAAATTATACCTATTATAATAATTATTATAATTGACAAAATTATACATTTTATAATTTATTTAATAATATTCATATGTATATATATATATTTATTTATACACACATGGAAATAAAACAATAATAAAATAAAATACCAATAATAATAATAATATTAAAAATAATAATATGTAAATGTGTATATCTTGTGACACATGCGGCTTCAAATCAAATCCAAAAAGCATCACAAGGAAGTAAGATTTACTCTACCTATGGTGAATAGGTCCTCTGAATGTGGGGTCAAATTTGTGTGGCTGCCCTGTAATGCAAAAACAAAGTGTCAAAATCACATTTAAAAAGTGAAAAATACAATTGCAAAAATTCAAGACAAGTGCCCCAAAAGAATTTAATCTATTCTTGTTAGGAGCTGCTAGGAGCTATCCTCGTAAGCTGCTGACCAGGTCAAAGAGCAAACAAACTAACTGATTTCAGAACAAGTCTAAAATAAAACAATGCACATGTAAACAAAGCATTCGATCAAGTAGGTCTGACTGCCCCACAATGCCTAAGGAGTGCAACTGAGCCATAACAAAACACAGGCAAACAAAAGAATGTACCTGCCACAGTTCTAAACACATTGGATGATTTTGACATAAAGCTCACAGAGTGATATTTCTCCTCGCCGAAGTATTTACAGTAAGTTCCTACCCAATTCTGCTTTGTAGTATACTCCTTTTGGTCTGGTCATGTTCACTGTTCTCTGAACGAAGACACTGTGTGTTTATATAATGTTGCTGTGCGTGTGTCACTTCCTATGAGGGCTGAGACGGTTTCTTCTTGCCTTTCTCCAATCGGTTAATCATTACACACAAAGCTGTGTTTGCGAGAGGAGGTGGAAGAGATATCAGGCTGGTGGGCGTTTGCGTCGCTTCCATCTGCCTCTCTCTCTCACTATCCACTCTCTACTCCTTCTTCACTTGTTCCTTTTCCTCTTTCTCTCTCTTGCTCGCTCACAAAGGAAACAGAACTGGTGTCTCGCGGCTCAGACTGGTAGCATCCACTGACACACCAGACACAATGAGACAACAGCACAGCAGCCGCCTGCTCAAAGCTTTGCACACACACACAGAGACTCAGAAAGTGCTGTTTGTATAAAGCCAAGCATACCATCACTTCTCATCTCAGTGGAATTAACATCCTGATGTTTTACTAACACAATTAATAGATAAAATCCTTAAATTTAAATGGACAGACTCACTGTCTGGAGCAAATTTTGACAGAACAGAACGAATACGTAGGTCTGCTAGGATCTGTGCCAGTGGATCTGAACAAGCTGAGTGGACAGACGTCAGCCGTCACATATGATGATGCACGCCTAGGTGGCCCAAGTTGAGAGATCAGACAGTGATACCATCATGCAAGTCTTAGCTGGTTTAAACTGGTTTTCAGCTGATCTTAGATGCTGATAAGTCTCCAAAACCCCTATAAAACAGACCACCCTGACCAAGATATGAGAACCAGCTAAAACCGGCAAACCATCTTGGCTGGTTTAAGCGGTTTTTGGTTTCGATGCAGCTTTATGATGCAATCATGATGTCATGTATGATGCCATGTTTATGATGGCATCAGTAGGCTGATTTGAGGAGAGTGAATGGCATATTCTCTAAAGTAGGCCTGCAACAATCATATTGCAATTTTGTTTAATCTGTCAATTATTTATTCAATTAATTGGATAAAAAAAAACGCATATCTTAGCATCTAATTTTTTTATTCCATCAAAATATGTGCAAATTAATGGTTAATACTAAAAACAAACTTATGCCTGTATGCTATATATTGTGTGGGGAAAAAATATAAATGTTAAACACTATAAAGTGCATATAGCTTTTCACACTATCATTATGCATTTTTGTGAAAAACAACAACTAGTTTTTCTTTCTAAAAACAGCCAAATTGACTAATTCTGTATTCAAATATTCAATATTTCTGTACATTTTCCTTATAGAATGTGGCGGGAGGAGCAAACGAGTTGGGCTGTCGTGATTCGTCGATTTTATTCGACTATTCGAATTTTTTAAATCTTCGACTTCATTTTGCTCGTGTCGACTAACCGGCAAAATACCGGAAGTGGCGCATTTCACAGACGAGAATGTATAAAACACATTATTAGTCTGTTTTCCAAGGCTGCATGATATATTAAACCCATTTAAAAATCATAATTAAGCATAATTGTGAATTCACAAACGCTACGATTTAATTAAATAATTATATGTGATGCAGTTCTAATACAGTATATGCGCTTTAATTATTTACATGCGTGTAGGTTAAAGATGCAGTCCATAACATTTTTTGGTTAAAAATGATCCAAAATCAATATTTGAGCAAGTGCATGCCTATATGTTTATATATAATAAACCTATACATGCATTTTTAATTATTTATAGATAGTATACATTACATATTTTATACAGCTTATTATTTTTATAGATTATATATAATTTGTTTAGAATATATATGTATAAGAAAAAAAATATGCATAAAAAAAACTAATTACATTTATTTATTTACTACTGGTTATGATCTGTGGACACTATCAAACACATATTAATCATATTCTCTTACTGCAGCTGTACTTGGATGTCAACAGAGACACTAAAGACTGAGTGACAGACAGCGAGACGAGCACGTAAACCGTCATGGACAGATGGACAGGCGAAGTAAGAGAGTGACAGACAGAGCAGATTGGTGAGGCAGGAAACTCTCGCTCCCTTTAGGCTTGTGTTTTGCTGACTCAAGCCAAAAAACCTGTTATAACTGGAATATGCTCAAATAAGAGGCTTGGAGTTTAAACTCTTTACATTCATGAGGCTGCTTCATTACTTTGTCTAAGGAGTTATTCTTAATTTATCACCTCACTGGTCATTCAAATGACACCTGTTGCTTAAAGGGGTCATATGATGTTGCTAAAAAGATCATTATTTTGTGTATTTGGTGTAATGAAATGTGTTTATGTGGTTTAAGGTTAAAAAAAACCACATTCTTTTCCACATACTGTACATTATTGTTTCTCCTCTATGCCCCGCCTTTCTGAAACGCGTC